TGGTGATATTTTTAAGGTAGAAAGTTTTCCCATCACTTTTTCAAACTATTTTTCACGCCTGACAAATTTCACTCTTCATTTTTGATTAAGGATACTTGAGCTGGTCTTTGTCACATTATATATGGCACCAATGACACCCTAACTCTCTGCCATACACACACATCTCTCAAGGTTCCTTGTATGCCCATCTGGAGCCAGATGCCACAAAAGCCTTCTGGAAATAAAGCAGATAGGCAGCTGCTCCCTAATCACACTGGGACAAGCTACCACAATTTTAATTCACCTAAGCAAACTGTTTTTTCACCTCCTGGGGCACAGAGCACCAGCTGCCACCCCTGTACTGCAGGCAGCAGTCAGTTAAAACATCTACTAGTGTCATAGTTGCAGTGCCAGGATCCTTAGGGGTCCCTTCCAACTCGAGATAAAGAATCATAAACTATCTTTCAGGACCTTTTCCATAGGTAACTCTTATTTAGATTTGAAAAAAAAACCCCAAAACCATTTCAAGGCTCAACTACCAAGATGCTCAGCAGCATCTAAATGGTCAAAGGTGAAGAGACAGTCACTACTGCCACCCCCTCCCCTAAAACACTCAAATTGCAGTTAATCATTATGTGTCTATTAGGCTAGTTGTCTCCTTAACAACATCATTAAAAGCACATTTTTGATTTTTAATTATGCACGTCTTTGTGAATAACATTAATTTTTAGAAAGATGCTCCAAGCCATTCTCTCCCAATTCCACTATTTACCTGGACTGAAAGCTGTTTCACACTTCTCAGTGTAAAGAGTCACTGCATTTGCTAGAAATTGGAAAGCTGGTAAGTTTAAATAAGGGCACAGGAATAACACTGAAGTCAGCAGCAGTATCTTATCCGTGGTGCAATTCTACACAGGGAAGAAATCACATTTGCAAAGTTGAAAAGGGGAGCTGAGAATACTCTGTCAGATAGCCCAGTAAGTCAATGCACTCACCAGCTGAGAAAGCATGTTGAGCAAAAGAAGTTCATCACTTTGCAGCAAAGAAACCTTTTTTTAATGACAGTTTTAGGGCTGACTTCTGTTGCAGTCTGGATTGATGAGCGTTTTTCAGCAGGAGGCTGGAAACTGATTCTGGTTGAATATATTAAAATATCTAAACAGCTTGAAAAATTTATTTTACAGTGGGGTTTTTTTGTCATTATAGACAACTTCATAAATGTAATACACATTTAGTTACCAGGAGAAAACTGTTTTGGCAAAAGAACAACCACCAGTTAACATCCTAGAACCCAAAAATTAGGTGCCTGACATACATGACAGAGAGGAAAAAATATCATTGAAAAGTTGTCAATTTTTCATCCTGAAAATCAGCTCATGCCTATGAGTGATATGCTCATAATAAGTTCTGATTTTTGCAGTAAACTGTATCAAAATCTGATGGAATAAACAACTGAGAACATAAAACAGTGACAGTTCAGAGCAATTCCTCACTCACATGATGTTTCTAACCAGAAAATAGTCTCCAACTTCATACAAAGGACTGTAAGGAACAAAACCCACAATTCATCCACAAAGACCAGAATTTGGGATCACTTTAACTGCATCTGCTTACATCAGCAATAAACTCTTTATTTAAGCTGAAAGTTCACTTACAAAAGTGACAAACTTGAAGAATCAAGACATCTGATGACACAGGACACCACAATTTACAGCTTCTCAGATATTCTTTTGATTTCAAGGCCCATTCTACTCGCAGAAAGGTGGAAAATATGATTTTGTTGATAGAAGCACAGTTCATACACATGACACGACCACACACCTGCATCACAGCATTCCTTAATAAAGGCAAAAACCCACTTTGTACAAAGTTAATAATTATGTATTCATTTGTAAAGGTAACTCCACTGACTGAACACTGATTTATAAACACTAGCAGAAGTTTGACAGTTTGCATGTTGATACTTGAGACACACCACACCAAAAGAACACTTTTTACTCTTGTCCAAACCAGTACAAAAAGGCAGCACCACAAAGCTGTGAAGTAACCCAAAGACTGATGTTTTTATTAGAGATCTAGAACGTTTATTCCAGAGCCTTCTCACCTGCAGTCCAAAATTCACTAAACCAGCTCCCAGTTCCAAGTTGTTTGTGAGCCAGCTTATTTTGGTTTCACTCACTCAACAGCTGAGCAGCTCATTGTTCCTAAACATTGCTAAGCAGCATAGTTTTGCAGACTCATCTGTGGTGTAGTGACCTACTGTCAAAGTAAAGGAAACTAATGCCAGGGTTGTATTTTTACACATGTACACAAACTACCAGAAAAAAAGGCAATTTTGTTCACATAAGAAATGGATATTGTGGCATATCCTGCTAAAATTGGTGAATTAATCCTGAATACTGGCAAGATTTTAAATGAAGTTTAGGAACTATTCCCTTGATGCAATATTTAAAAGTCTGAATTACTCACAAATTAAGCTGTTCAGTAAACTCACCTTTGTGTTTTCTTCTTTTATGACAAAAAACACTTCAAGGGACATTTGAGCAGCACTATTACTGTTTGTTTATACACTTCCTAACTGAAGTACAATTCAGATCCCATATTCCATTCACTATCAGCTAAACCTCTCACTGAAGTTCTGAAGAAGTGCCACACGGTGGAGGTAGATGCCTACAGCTTGAAATGAGAGGCAGAGGTGATGCAGTATCTTCATTTTATGTTAGTGTAAATTAATTACCTAAATTAATTATCAAATTACTTGCTTTGAAAGGTACTAGAAAGCTAAACTGAGGTGGGGTAGAAGGAAAAAAATCAACGCCATCTCCAAGTTATAAAAGTCTTCACCAAAAATAAGTTTAAATTGTAGGGTAATTGTCATTGAAACAATACAACAAACCCTTCTACAATTTAAAACCTGTGCAGATCTATATACTAAGAGAATTAGACCCCCGAGTAACATGCTTGTGATCCAGGCAGACAGCAGCAAATATGTATTTCCAAGTTTTACTTTAAATTAAAGCCATAATCCTAAAAACAAAAGCGTCATGTGCAGTCTTACAAGAAACCCCATATATCTGAAATCAGAAACCCCTTTTCATGAGTGTGTTCTCATCACTGAAGTCCATAACTTTGGCTCTAATGTAAATCCCATCTAGCAGAAGAGAATTCTTCCTTATTGCAAAGCAGCAGATCCCCCATTAACAAAGGGGCAGAACTGGATTTTCCAGGGCAGTGCTACCCAACAACAGCAGCTGGCCTTGAAAAGGGTTGAAGACTTGAAGACTCTTGCAAGTGTTTCAGAGATTTTTCACAGATGTACTTCAACAGCCTCTGCCCTTCCACAGGTGGCCCCTGGACACCCATATCATAATTACATTGCCAGGAACACGTTGCAAGGAGGCTGCACAGGGGTTGGTGCACTCTGGGACTGTCATGTTCTCACACTGGGCAAGCCCAAATCATTGGTGCCAGGGTTTAACCAGTACTCAACACTAAAACAACACAGTAAGTCCTACCAGCAGAAGCCACATCATTTCTTAACAATCCTGTCCAGAAGTGCACACATTTACATGTTCTGAGCTTTCTTCTTCCCCTGTTTACCACCTGCAGAGCAAAGCAAACAACATCCACTGCTCCCAAGTGCTTTTACTCTACAGGAAGCTGCAACAACTGATTACTGTAGTCATGCCTAGAGTTAGGAGAAACAAGAAACTAAAGTAAACAACTCAGTACAGTTTTAAATCTGTAAAACAGATCAGCCACACTACTGTCTTGGGCTCCAGCTCCTTCCTCACGTATTTAGCTTCAGAGTTACTTGGTTCAAGTTCAACATTATCACTTCACTACACCAAATCCAGCACATATCACAACTCCCCAGCACACCAGAAATGTATTCTGCCAAGCAACTAGCAAAACAAGAATTTAGCTGAACTCCCTTGATTTTTCTCCAGTCATATGCATGGCAAATATTTTTTGCCAAGAAAAAAGCCAGATGTATTTGGAGAAAACGTGCTCAGCTGTTAAGTCTGAGCAGTTCCCTTTGATCAAATATAAATGGACAAGTAGCAACCAATATTCTAAAAGCATAAGCCAGCAAATCCATCAAATGCATCTCAAAAATCTCTGAATCTGCCTGCAGGTAGGTTCCTTCTAAAGCATTCAGTGAAGAACAAAGTGCCCCGAGGTAGAAACCTCACTTCTCACTAAGTGCTTTGGGGATTTTAGTCAGGACCATCTCTAGCTTAATCCTGTAAACTGGATGCCCATCAGCACCTGAGGGACATGAGGCATGCTGCTGGACTCATCTTTCATGCTGCTGGACTCATCTTTCATGCTGCTGGACTCATCTTGCAATCTAATTTTATCAGAGGAATGCAGCTGAAGAACTTTGAGACCACACTGCAGTGTGAAGTAAAGCATGGAAAGGGGTATAACTGGACTCACCTGACCAACACACTACTGACCCAAACTAAAAGGCTGATGTTGACCACACTAACACAGCCACAAAGTTATTAAAGGAATAGTAGATTCCCAAGTATTAAGAAAAAAATTGTTCTCATCCCAGATGAATGAGACTAGCAGCTTAAATGACACACCTGATTAATTGAGAGGCTCATCTCCAAAACTTCCAGGGGGGAAAGTTCAACTCAAAAAGTAAAAATAATTCAGCCAAACCAACACCTTGAGAGAAAATTTCTTAGAAAAGTCTTGAAGTGAAAGCAGCTGTGGTCACCAAAAATTGCAGTTTCCTATTTAGCTACTTCAACTCAATGTTTTATAGTTTAGACTGCTACAGTTTGTTACCTGTTAAGTGCACACTGCTATAAAATACCCACAGAGACAACATTTAACCACTAGCTAGTTTGAAACACAGTTTGTACTACTTTGTAAAAATCAGCAGCACCTCCTCTGCTGACAACACTTCAATAAACATTAGACAGCATCATGTTTAATAGTTCAGAGCACTGCAGATAGTTTTTCCTAACAGAACTCATACTTGTTTAAAAACCAACCAAAGGAAAAAACTTCACTTGATCTTTATTAATAATAAAAAAAAAAAGGAGTTCAAAGGCTGCTATGACATTTAGAACAGTATGCCAGAGATAATTACAACACAGCAATGAATTTTAATTTAAAAAAAAATAAAATGACACATACTAAGAACAGACCCTGTCCCTGGGAGCCAGCTGTGCATAGTTTTCTTCCTGTAAATAGCCCATCATCTCTCCAGAGGGGGAAAAAAACCCAAAAAATTAAAGGCATCAGTAAATGTAGCTGCCATTTTAAGCATTTCCAACTTAGTGGGAAATAACTCGCAGGAAGTAATTCTAGAGAAGTCAGTGCTGACATTTTTTCTACAATCATGCAATTGGAGCACAAATGGGAATAAAGCACTTTTATTTACACTTAACTCAGTTTGCAAACCCAGGTGTACATTGCCATCCTTTAAGGTGCAAGCTACATGTCTGCTGAATTTAACTGAAGGCAGAAGAGGGGCTATGGGAGATAAAACACCCCCTGTAGTTATACAACCAACCAGCTCCAACCCTGAGCAGCTGAGTGTGTTCCTGCCTCTGGGGTGTTACCAGCCAAACACATATTCCATTGCTTTGGATACAATACTTTCATCTTTCCTAGGAGTCTGTCTGTCAGAAACCACCTACAATGGAAGGGAGAAAAAAGAAGAGAGAAAATAAGAGAGTCAGTCAACACAGTTAATTCTTTTTACACAAACCCATTTTTATTTCTTTTCCTAAGGACTACTGTATTTTGACAAAATATGTTTGAAATCGTTTCAAAACAAGCCCTTAATCCCTGTAAAAGTGACAAATAATTCATTTATTATTATTATTATTTTAGAGACTGAACAGCCTGAAGCACATCTTTAAGGAAATGACAGCAAAAGATAAAAGCTAAGGTCACGTTGAAGTTAATTGTCTGTACAGCCTCACACAACCAAGGGGAGACAGCACAAAAACACATGCTTCTTTTTCCCTTAAAATACCTGATAGTCACTAGTGGAAGCTTTATATGCTGTTGCAAGAGGTCTCATTGTAGAAATCCTTGTAGCATTATTTGCAAGTTGTACTGGTGTGCCAGTAGATTTTGTAGGTGGAGTGAAAACCGAAGACATTGAGGATGTAGAGTTTCTTTCAGAGTTTTCCATCACACTCTTAAAAAGAGGGTTAATATAATGTAAACAAATACTAAAAAGCAGTATTCCAACCTTATCTAAAATTCTCTACTATCTAAAATTGTTTGGTAAAATGTATTCAGACCCCAAAGATAAATGTCCTGTCAGTAAAGAGCACACAGGTACAGACCACCAGCAAGCATTTTCCTCACTGCAATCATTCCCATGCTGGATTATGCCATTGCAAAGTAGGGAAAGCTTGGAATCTGTTCACAGTCTGTACTAAATGTCAATCAAGTTTGAAACAGTGTAGAGAAAATATATTGTACTAATTGCAACAAACTTCAAGTAGTAACTTGTTTCAGGCCCAGTGGAACAAAGTAGCACAATGCTCCCCTTCTAAATACTTCTAAAATATTTGACCTGATCCAGACAAAACTGTCTTCAAGTCTTTAGAAACTCTCACCTTTTGCTCAGACTCAGCTTGCCAAAGAGTTTCATTCACTCCCTTTAGCAGATGCCAGAAAAGAAGTCAGAAGGCTCCATTTTGTAAGCTTATGTTTGGAAAGGAATGCATGTAAAATGAAAGAGGCATCAAGTGACTTGATGGGCACCACGAGTTCCACAAGAACCCAGAGAACACATGGTGGGAAATAACAACTAGCCTGGGGGGGGCAAATTTTCAGTTCAATGTACTAATATAAACTCAAAAGCCAGAAACACATGAATAGTCACATTAAAAAGAGAGGGACAATAAGGAGGAGCAGCAACAGTCTTAATCTGCCAGCACTTATATATTGCAGCCTCTGAGAGCCATAAATTCCAGTTGGGAAACTTCTCTCAGTTGCCTCATGTTACAGTTTCATTTCACTACCTCCAATAGCAGTATAATTCTGTGCATTGCAACTTCCAAGGAGCAGAGACTGCCCACAACGATCCTTCTCAGCAGGAAATGTTGACAAATACTTAAGAAAAGAACTCCTGTAATGTGTAACATTCTATACCTAAACAGCTATACACGCTCTGCAATTCCAAAAGAAAAAAAATTAAAGAGGTCAGGGGAAAAAACAAAAAGGAAGATGAAAAGAAAAGTGCCTTATAATTAACTAAAAGCAGCTCTTAACTTACTTTATCTATACAGGGCTTGACACCAATCATGATGGATTCACCAAAAATTCTTCCATCTTTGCTTAGGGCTTTCCTGGCTTGAAGCTTAGACTGATATCGAATGTGCATCCAGTTTCCTGTGTTGGACATCTGGAGGAGGTGAGGTGAAAATTGTGAAATGCAGCTTCTTAAATACATGAGTCCCAAGGTTTTCAGAAATAAGTGTCAAACTAAGACATACCACGTGCTTTAATATGTTTCCATACTGAGCAAACTGCAGAAGAATGTAGGAAGCTGATGCTTGGGGAAATCTGAAGGACAGAAAAAATGTAAAAAAAAAAAAATATTACTAGTAGTTTAAGAATTGAGGTGCTAAAATACAACCCTATGAAGGGTTTATAGAAATCCAGAAGAGAGCAGTGTGAAACCATTTCAGAAGCAGTGACTTCAGGAATACTACCTTCTAGGCACTTTTACTTCACCACACACCTCCACGGCAGAATGGTGCCTTTCTAACTTGAAAAAAAATAACATTTAGCTTAAGTTAAGGTGACTCACTAAAAACTATGTTTGCTTGCTTTAACCACAGTTGTATTTCCTGCACACCTACGAGTGCCAGACAACAGCAACGCCCAAGCATTCCCCTTCACATGTCACAAAGACTTCAGCCAGGTTTTTCTAACAGTTTGGAAATCAGCTTACCCAAATACAGTTACCCATGTGTCATCAAGCTGATCTTCTGAAGTAAGGGAATCACCTTGAGTATAAAAAGGATCTAGCTGAGCAGGAGACAGAGTAGTTTTCCTAGGCTGCCCAATGCTTGCAGGACTGAACACGCTTGAAGCTGTTAAATTAAAATGGCATCGTTGAACGGATTTCTTTTGCAAAACAGAGAAGCTTAAAAGTCCATAATAAAAGAATAAATTCACTTGTATGTGGAGGAGTCTGATGGAGATTTACTCACAGACACAGATAAAAAGTAAGTCAATCCAAACTTCATATCCACAAGCGTGCTACTGAGTCTCACGACTAAGACAAGATCTGAAACCTTATGAAGATGGAAGGCAACCCATCAATCTCAGCTGCATCACTCGAGTACAACCACCTCTGTGCTCAGTTCAACAACACTTCTTGAAGAAGGAATAAGTAAAGTTGATCAAAAAATTCAAGCAGTGTCAGAATGGATAATTATTTCCTACTCATACACCTCCTGAAAAGCCAATAAATACAAAACTCCCTTGCAAATTAGTAAGGAATTGCTGTAGTTTCAACAGTGGTGACTCTTCTGTATTAAGGAAAGCAATAAGAAAGCAGGTTATATCTTTTTACAGGACATCTACCTGTGCCTGGAGTTGATGGCAGAATTCCAACTGCTGGGCTCTGTGTTAAGGAGAAGTTGGCCTGCATTGAAACACAGAAAGTAACAAATCATTCTTACAGGTATACACTGCTCAGATCAAAAGACATCATTTCAGGTGATTTAAGCATCAGGCAAGAATATTAACTGTTGCCTTAACTTACTCCTAGTTTTTAAGAGTAAGAACATGTATATTTAATACAAGATTATTAAGAGTTAGTAATGAAAAGTTATTTGTATTTAAATGTACTTGACATATGCTTCGTGAAGCACAGTATCTACTCAGAAACCTTACAGTTTAGCTTTTTCAAAATACTGCTGCAGTACAGTAAGTCACACATCCATGTGATGGGAATCCTGATGGGAAGAATGTCAGTATCCTAAGGCACCAGCATCTAATTCTCACTTCCTAAAGGGTTCAGAAATCATGGGATCACTCGTGTTCCTCACTACTAGACTCACTTTCCTGCTCAACTGTTTAGTGCAACTGCACTGAAGGGAAGTATACTTCAAGTTTTAGCTGTTAGTCCTTTTTTTCTTTTTAACACAGGATTTCAACATCCAAAACAATTTTAGTGTATTTTTAACCTGAACCATGGCATTTCTTAGCTACAAGCCCAACCAAGCTGGAGTGCCTGTAGACATAGCAACATGTGTTCTGACAGCTGCTCAATACCTTTTTCTCAATTTAACTCCCAGGCTTTTAAGACACTATTGGATTCTCTCTGTCACAGGGAACCTCAGCTTCCAGAACAAACTCTTCAGAAGGCAACATTCAACAGAGAGACTGCTCATTCAGTGAAAAGCACTCTCCTTGCATCAGAAGGACCATGTCCAACGAAAAAGAACCTAATAATGCTTGACTACTCACTTGAGGTAAGTAGCGGAGCTTATTATAAAAAAATTACCCTGTAGAAATTTTAGTGTTCCTCTTTCAAAATTAACCCCACCCTCCTACCCAAATTTTGATTAGATATTTTACTCAGAAAAAAATTCCTTCTATTTCAGGAAGTGCCTCTATTGCCCACTAAAAGATAATCAGAGAAACATAGAACTGTCTGGGTTGGAAAAGACCTCTAAGATGGAGTCCACTAACACAGCACTGCCATCTTCACCACTAAACCATGTCCCCACGTGCCACATCCACATGTTTTTTGAACATTTCCTGGGATGCTGGTTCCAACACTTCCCTGGGCAGCCTCTTCCAACACCTGACAGCCCTTTCAGTGAAGAAATTTTTCCTGCTATCCAATCTAAACATCTTCTGCTGCAACTTGAGGCCATTTCCTCTTCTCCTATCATTTGTTACACCTGGAAGAAGAGACCAACCCCCATCTGCCTACAGCCTCCTTGCAGGGAATGAAAGGGCCCTTCTGGCAATCAGCAGCTCAATAAATCTACAAGCAGGTGAAAATCTGCAACAAGCCTGGATTTGTACACACAAAGCACAACTGAGCTACAATTTGCATTCCTCGCTCTCTACTGTAATGCCAGGAGTTTGCTTCATGCCAGCAGCTCTCAGTCAGTGTGCACAGCAGCAGGCACACCAAACACCCAGAGCGAGCAACAGCACGAGCAGAAGGCTCACCCACCAGTTTACAAACCCAGGCTGAAGAATTCGCTGAGGCAGGAAGCTGCCCCAGCTAAGAGCAGCTAAGCTGCCCCAGCTAAGCTGCTCTTCTGCTAAGAACAGGCCAGTACCAAAGACACTTACTGGTCTTCCTGAGGTTAGAGGTGTTGATCCAAGCCCAGGACTGGACAACTCATCGTAAATGCTCCTCACGGGGGGAGCGCCGCCTTTATCTTTATGTGTTGGGACCACTGGCTGTGGGGGAGATCCTCCTGCAGTTCAGAGGAATGAAGGAAGAGCATGAGCAGACTTGCCACTTTACTCCACTGCTGCCTGGTTTTGAATCTTCAGGGGTAAACTCAGCCAGGAAAAAAAAAAACCTCTTGGTTGGTTCACTGGGCATTTGTGAGACCATCTGTTCAGGTTTGAATGGTCTACAGAACAGTATCACATGTGTTAAACTGTGTCCTTCTAAAACTTTTAGACCTCTTCTTAACCCTTCATACTCTCTGTTAACATGCACTTGTTCTTTTTCTGAAGTTCTGAGCATACATCTAGCTACAATGAGCATACAATAGCTACATCTTCCTATTTTAAGGCAGGTTAGCAGTGTATTTTAATTGTTTCAGACACTAACTTGCCTGTAGTAGAGATGCAAAAGCAAGATTTTTAAGGCTTGAGACGTATTACATGCTAAAGAACCACACCAAAATGCACACAGGTGTACTGCACGTGATTGTCACATTCCCACTGCCTAAATTCCTTGGCTTCCCATCTCATTTCACATTGAATAAAAATGTAAGCAAGCCCTTGACAGCAGGGACTAGCTTGCTTTTAGACAGGATGAAGTGAAGCCAGCTTCCCTCCCACAAACTTTGGGACTTCCAGCATAACAGAGAATTAAACTGACTGAGAGAACTTGAGGTATCTCTAAACATTTTGCGTGGGTTTACCTCAGGAAAAGAAAAAAAAAAGTTAACAGTTTTCACTTGCAAAACATTTAGAAACTAAGCTTTTCCACAGTACTTTTCAATCCTAAAATTCTGAGCTTCAAGACTCCACTCTGAAGTGTCTAACACATACAAGAACTGCTCCTGTTATATGCAATAACTGTATATTATATAAAGCACTCTCCCATCAAGGTTTTCAGTTTTAGTGATGTATTTAATCACTCATTTTGGTAAGCCTGTGTTAGTACCTTACTGTTTCCTCCTTATCTAAAATTGATACTTTGAGACTGTGATAAAGCCTTTTAAAATCAGTTGGGTGAAATTCCCATGACTACTTCCAATGTCATAAATATTTTCCTAAGAGGTTTGTACTTGATGGGGTCAGGAAAGGCAGACAACAGCAAGAAGTAGGAGACCAACAGACCAACAATCACAGAACATTTTAAGTTGGAAGGGACCCAGAAGGATCATCGAATCCAATCCTGCCTGAGATTCAAAGAAGAGAATATCTAAAATTCTCTTGCAGTGCCTTAATCCTCAGTTTCTCCTTGAAGATGACTATTAACACCATCAGATATTAAATTATGCCAACTGATCTAGTAAAAAAGCCAAGATCACCTGTGATGTGTTAACTACTCACTCATAATTCTCAGAGAAGAACACAGACACAATAATACCAACTTAAAACCATGTGTGAGAGCTCTTCCCAGTCTAATCAATCAGGTCACAGAAAAGAAATGAGTATCTACAGCTAGGAAGAGTCAGTGCTACTTCAGTTCAATGACAGCAGACATCAAGACTAACTACAACCACTAGATAATAATTAAGAAGCATTTTTTTAGTTTCTCTCCTCTCAGTTTTTACAAGTCTGACAATCTGTGACATTTTAGAACTCACTGCAAAGAAACCAGCAGTTTGCACGTGCTGCACTTAGTTTGCCAGCAGACCTCTGTTTTAAATAAAGAGAAAACTCTAATGGCTGTATTTGTAAAGAGTTGTATAAATTGATTCTGTATTAGCAGAGATTTATATTAACTTCCCGGTAAAACAAAGCTTTCCTGGTACCAAAACTGCCATTTTTAAAACAGCTATTAAGCTCAAGACTAGTTTGAAGAATTTAGCCAAACTCCATTGAATACACTCGAGTTCACCAGCTATTCAATCAGTGGAATTTGTTTACAGCCAGTTATAAAACTTGCTATAAGGAGTCAAGTCTACAACAGTCAAGCAGAACGACAAGACAAAGCAATTTCTTTACTTTCAGGACGATTTTTCAGCATTTTCAGAATTCTGACCTGCAAGTAGCGGAGACCTCGTTTCCATTACTCCGACTGAAGGGCCGCACAGAGCACGTGGCTGTGGAGTCACCGGGGCAGGTAAGTCACCCATCAAAAACCCGGGAAGGAACTGAGCACCAGCTCCTTGTTTGGGAGACGTCGGGGAGCCGAGAGTCATCGGCTCAGCTCCTGAAAACAAAACGTAAAACCAGGGAGAAGAAAAGTGATCTAGCGTTTTTCTTCCAACGCTTTGACTGCGGTTCTGTTGAAGAACGTAACACGAGATACAGCAAGTGATTTAAGATCACAGAATGGTAGAATCCTTAGGATTGGAAGGGGCCTCTGGAGATCATCGAGGGCAGGGTCACCTGGAGCAGGAGACACAGGAACATGCCCAGGTGAATTTGGAATGCCTTCAGAGAAGGAGACTCCGAGACCTCCCCGGACAGCCTGTTCCAGTGTCCTCCCACCCGCAATGGAAAGAAGCTCTTCCTCACGCTGAGGTGGAACTTCTTGCGTTTTAGTTTATGGCCATTGCTCCTCATCCTGTCCTCATTGCCACCGAAAAGAGCCTGGCACCCATCCTCCTGACACCCGCCTCTGAGATATTTACACGCATTAATGATTCCAAAGACGGTTCTACAATAATTCATTTTGCAAGTTTTGCAAGCCAAGTTTACCACGACCTCGCATTTTCTGCAACTCCAAGCCCGTTCCACTTCAACCCAGAGGGAAGCTCAAGTGGTCTCAAGTTGTGCCAGGGGAGGTTTAGGTTAGATATTAGAAAGAATTTCTTTACAGAGAGGGTGGTCAGACATTGGAATGGGCTGCCCAGGGAAGTGGTGGATTCTCCATCCCTGGAGATTTTTAAAAAGAGACTGGATGTGGCACTTAGCGCCATGGTCTGGGAACTGCAGCGGCAGTGGATCAAGGGTTGGACTTGATGATCTCGAAGGTCCCTTCCAACCCCGCTGATTTTATGATTCTATGATTCCCCGTCCTGGTGCCGTCTCCCACCGCCCACTCCAGCCCGGCGGCATCCAGACTCCTCCCGGCCTGGAGCAGGGGGGTCAGCGCCGGCCCCGCTCCCTTCACCGGGACACTCGAGCGCGGGTGGCGCCCGGGGACCCGCCGAGCACGGGTCCGTGAGGCGGCGCCCGGCACAGCGGCAGTGCGGGGGGGCGGCCCGCGGGCCCGGCTCACCTGCGGGCGGCGGCTCCATGGCGAAGGCGGCCATGGCGGCCCGGGCGGGAAGCCGGAGACGGCGGCGGCTCCTCCGCCGGGCGCTTTCAAACAGGACGGAGCTTCCTCCCTCCGTCACTTCCGACCCGCCCCCCGCCATCTTGTGCGGGAAGGGGGCGGCGGGAGCTCCTTCTCCGGGCCGGGGTCTCCCCTCACGGTTCCCCGGCAAACGGCTTCACCACCCCGTCCCCCCCTCCCCATGCCCGCGAAGGGCCAGGTCGTGAAAAAAAGAGTTGAAAGAACCGCGGTTACCGTTACAAGAGCTTGTGCTGCGTTGTTGTTTCCACGGGCTGAGAACTGTTAAGATGCCACCCTGACTGCCCGGGGAAAGGGCTGCGGTCGCTGCCCGGGCTGCCACAGCCCGCCGAGCCCGGGGTACAGCGCTGCGACAGCTCCCCTCGCAGACGGTGACCGAGGGACCGCGATCAGATGCAGAGGGGTCGCCTAAACCTCGCACTAGCGTTTAGCACAGAGTCATGGGATGGTTTGGGTTGGAAGGGACCATAAAGATGATCTTCCACCCTCCTGCCGTCTGCAGGGACACCGTCCACTAGCCCAGGTTGCTCCGAGCCCCGTCCAGCCCGGCCTTGAACACTCCCAGGGATGGAGCAGCCACAGCTTCTCTGGGCCACCCGTGCCAGGGCCTCACCTCAGGGAAGGCCACCCTCGGGGAAGAACTTTTTCCTAATATCTAATCCAAACAGTCTGTCCGTTTGGATCCATTCCCTGTTGCCCTGCCACCACACTCTTGAGCATGAGCAATTAATATTGAGAACACACGGTGTGTGGTTCAAACACGATGGCATGCAAAAGTTCAGACTATTGGTACCAAGAACGCCAACCTTGAAACCAAAGCTTTCAAGTCACTTCAGCACACAGTTTATCCAAACACAGGGTCCTTTTTATTTTACTGCATAATAATATATCAAACCATTAAGAACTGGCGTGAAGGCCGCAAAAAATACTATTAAAATCTTTTACAGATTTTGCGTGTGTATTGAACATGCCATCTTAAGACAGTAATTCCAGCCTGAGACTTCTCAGGAGCGCTAAAGTTACCCATCCTAGGATGTCCATTCTTTATAGATGGTGTGGAATGGAATGAGGGAACAGCAAATGTGGGTTGAATGTGAAGAAAAGGCAATAGCAGTGAGCAGATAGGTTGTTATCATCATTTTTCATATCTCCACCGAAATGATTTACAAAAAAAAAAAACCTCTGCTGGTTCCAGCACTTTGGAAACATCATGTTAGTGCACTTCAAATCCCTGCTTGAGGAGAAACGGTAGAAAGACATGAAGCATGAAAGCATCCTACACATTTTGAGCATCCTCAAAAGACCATCTGTTTTAATTTCCAAAAAAATTTAATGGCTGGCTAGCCCACAGAAATCAATAAAGTCCTCTTTACTTGCAATATAAATTTAAAATCCAATATCAAGGTACTTCATTATATGAACATTTTATTATCTAGATTTTACAACCGAATAGAATGCATACATTTGGAAAGTAAATGGGGCAACTTATCTCAGTTATTTTATTGTCTTTCTCAATTGCCTGCATTTTCTGATGTATCATAAAAAAACCCACCGTCATTCTGTTGTTTTCTACTGTTTCAAGGAAAACTGAACTTTATCTTTCTATCAGCACTCTAGGAAGAGCTGGTTCTTGGGCAAAACTTCTCTGAAGTCAGTGGAATATCATCTGGCCTATAGATGACGTGCTGAAAGAAACAGGGTCGAGGGAATGTAAGAAAAAATATGCAATGACTCGAAAATGCCCAAGTGAAAAGGGGATTGCAAAATGACAGATTAAAGGACATCCAACATCTGTGCCTGTGTAGTCAAAACAGATTGTTTCCCTTCTCCCTTTTGATCAGTCGTGATCATTTATGCTTCCGTTTTCTTTTACAATCTGTTCTTGGTATTTGTGAAGCTGCTCCATGAAGCCAGGATTCGGACGAGCCACAGGCCTCGCATTTTTCACCAAGGAAAAGGCTCTGGCAAAACTCAGTCTTTCTGAATTCATTAGAAAACCAATGACTACAGCCGCTGCACGGGAGACTCCTGCGTTGCAGTGGACCAGTACCACGCCATCCTTCAAAAAAGAAATTAAACATAAGGCGGGATATTCGTTAGGCAGATAAAAACAAGTATGTGGAAACTTTATATAAAAATCTATTAAGACTTACTGAAAGCTCCTTGCTGAGCTCAAAGCAAATATTTATACACGTAAGTAAGTCCAAACACAGATATATAAGCCCAAAATTAAGTATTTTTCTAATCAAAGACACTTTACAATTGCCAAATACTTCAAATTTAATTCATGCCTTAAAACTAAAAAATATCCCCCTGTCCTTTTCCCTGAGTCCTTACAGGAGCCCCTTCATGTAAAAACCAAATCACAGACTCCCGGGATACTAAGATATCCGATCTAATTGGGTGCCAATTTTAAAATGGATTTTATTTGCAATTCGGAAAGGAACTTGACAGTATCTTGTTAAAGGTTAAAAACATAGCGAGGCAGCAAACAGCTGGGCACAGAGGCAGATTTTGGAATATCCTGTAGTTCCAGTCACACTCTTCTTTAAAAAGACACTGCAAGTTTCGTTAAGAAGTAACGAGCACTAATTAAAGCAAAGACAACTGAACAATCTAGTGTGGCTCAGGGAATGTTTGCAAGGCCCAGGCTTCATAACACTTCACATAACCCTGGAAACATAACACATAACCCTGGAAAAGGCTCCAAACTGCCAGCCAGATGCCACTGTGACACAAAACCACACCACCAAACCCACAGAACCTCCGTATTCTGAATGAAGACACTGAAACACGACGTGATTTGCTCAGATACTTGAGAACTAAGCATATCCATTCTAGATATAAACAGCCTGCTCTGTCGGCCCTTAACAGGCACAAATTATTTAAGGAGCATTTTAGCCAGTGACAGAAAGACCAGTGAGTGACAAAAAGCACCAGGGTTCCTTTCCAGGAACTCCATGGTTTATGTTACAGAATTGGGAGCTGCAAATTATCTGGTCTATTAATAAACACGCAAGAGCAGAAAATGGTTCCTGCTCCAGAAATCTCCCAGTTTAAGTAAAAAGACAAAGCAGGAAATTGAGTATTATTATTATTCATCTTGGAGAAATGCCAAGCTGAGACTAGAAGAATGACTTGCACAACAAGATTATGGCAGAGCTAGGCACTGAGTCTAAACTCCTGCATCCCAATAAATCACAATATTATCCTTCCTTGCAATGAAAATCACATTCCCTGTGCACTGCCTGCTGCAAATTGCACTCTTCATTCCCTTTCTCACAGTCACAGGGCCGTGACTCCTCATCACACAGACCATGTGGGAAGCAGACCTGTCCATGTATTTCAACTACCTGAGGGAGTGGCAGTGGTGACCTGTAAATCCAGAACAATGACATTAAAAATTATGCCACTGCTAATGAGTCAATTGCTGAAGCTTCTCTACTGTAAATGTGGAGCAGTTTTTACTTCTTTAATGGGAGTTATTTCAGACATAATGCACCATAATCAAGATCAATATCCAGCAGTGGCACTAAGAGTAAATAATACACATGGAAAGTGACCTTTGTTTTTTTTCCCTTTGTAAAGTTCATGCTTTATTTTCCTCTTCACATATAAGTTTGATTTTATTTTTTTTAATAACTGTTCTGTTTTACATTGTCAAAAATTATTTAGTGATATCCACGGATCCTGAAAATTACTGAACATGAATGAACACAGGCAATAACATTAAACCAAATTTAACACTGAGAACTTTTATCTCTCCTTTTTAAACCCCCTTGTTTGCAATTCATACAAAGATTAATTCGACATGTCATTCTTGACTAGTTTTGTATTTGCTATGAATATGAAATAAAGTGAGAAACAGATTGCAGATAGGAAATTCATCTCTGTTTACCAGGAACTCCTTGCTCTGACTCTGGTAACCTTTGCCTACCAAGAAATGGTCCGTGGTCTTGCAAGAACATCTTTTAAAGATTCAAGACCAAGTTGGGGTTTTTTTAATTTTTTATAGAGAGGGAAACGAAATCACCTTCCACCGAGAGAAAAAGTGATTATACAATGGTTATATACAGTGGGCAAAAGAAATTAAAAAGCAGCATAAAGCTTTAAGCTAATGTAGTTAGTTATGGATCCTTTCTACTTTGGAGTGGAACCAAGTATTTTTCGTTAGGAAAGACAGAAGGAGCAATAAGGAGAGATGTTCATGAATAAACAGGGATTTCCTCCTTAGAAACAAAAGATTTTAGAGGTTTTATTATTCGATATTAAACAGAAATATGAAAGAGCAGTAGCACTATGGCCTGACACGTGTCACCTAACATGTCATGGAAAACCTGCCTGCCAATTTGGAGCTTAGAAGAAAAGGTGAGCTCTGATGGGTATCAGAATTTGTACCATGGTGTTGACAGACTTGAGCCATCAGAGTTTCAGAAAAGTTGATCCAGTTCCGAGTAGCAGCTGGCAGTGACTTGAGGAACAGCACAGGCTTCCCTTGCATCCTCAAACTGGAGTGCTCTCATACTCTCTCCTTGAGTTAATCACGTTCTAACAATAATTTCTCATATATCCCACTCTCTCAGCAGTGAATTTCTCTCTCTCCCTCATATTAGGAGATGAAGCACTTGTATCTCTGTGATTGCTTGAGCAGAAGAGCACTTCACGACACAATTTATCATAAGCCCTTTTAACCCTATTTTGACAAAGCAAATAAAGTGATTCGAGCCACCCAGAGATCTGTCTCTGCATACCACTATCACATGCTTTGTGAACTGATCCTGGAGAACAACTATTCCACCAATTACCTGCTCTTTCACCCACCTCTCCCATTAGAAAACTGTTAATATGGCTGTAAAAGTTTTCCTGAAAACTTCTTAGCTTACAAAATAGTAACCAGGACATAAACACCAGAGGCAGAAAGCAAAACTGTGCAGTTAGGAATGGCAACTCTCATCTAGAAATGAAGTGGAAACCGTAACTAGACACCATGAAAAGGTCATTAAGTGACAACGTGTATCACATAGCTCGTAAATGATAAATGAGAGAAGGAAAGAACACTGCAACACAAAGAAAGCTGGGACAAGTGTATCTTCTTTTATCCCAACCTACATGAATAATGAATTTGGTAGATATGGTGGAATAACATGCAATAAGGTTTGGTTGTCAAGCCATAGTTTTCCCACCAAAGCAATGGTGGTTGTAAATTACACAATAAGCCTGAATTTAACAGCTGTGAGTCAGGGATGCTCCTGGTCACAGACAACTCTGCCAAGCAACCCCAGAAAGAGTCCCTTCAGCCCATTTCCCATGTCACATCTTTTTCAGGATTTTGGGAGCAGTTAAATCACTTGTTGGCTCCAAGACTACTAACACACGCTCTGACATCCTTGGTACATATGTGGATTCATAGCTCAGCGTGTGGCATCTTCTTTGAGAACCTGGTCTAGTGGGAGGTGTCACTGCCTGTAGCAGGGGGTTGGAATTACATAATCTTTAAGGTCACTTCCACCACAAATTATTCTATGATTCTATGATGAAAAGTTCAAGGATGGTGACCAGCTGATGCCAAACCACACAGATCTGTAAAAGCCCTGTTAGGCTTGCTTCTAATCCAAAACAACATCCCTGACAGATTAAGTAAGTCGTCTCCTTTTCCCTCTGCCAGGGGTAGTGACTTAGGATGGGATTTCTTTATCTAAAGTCAGCCACTGCTCCATCTGTATTAAAGAAGCATTTCTCTAAAACTCAAGACAGACATTCTGAAAAAAACATTGCTGGAGGGAACGGAGATTAACAGCAGGGTCACGTTTCTAGGAATGCTTAGAAATTGCCTGGATTCTCTGTTTAAAATTTTAAAAGGCAATGGCAAAGCTATTCATTTGGTAGCATATTTTCTTTTGACAAAAGAAGCTGCTTAAGTTCTTAAAATAGTGTAATAAATAATGTAAACAGGATAACTACTAACATCAATTATTGATATACCATACCTGGATCTTGGCTTTCTCAATAAACTCAAAACATTCAGGGAAGTAGGAGGTAATATCAGTTTCTGGGAGGTCCAGAATAGAAATGGTCTTGTATATGAAATCATCGAGGAAGGCATTTTGGACTCCATATGCCACATTTAGAATGTGAGTAACCTAAGTCAAAAAAAAAAAGGAAAAAAATGAAAAAAGCATTTTCTGAAGACAGCAAGCAAAGTGAGCAGTGGCAAAGGTAAATTATTCTTTAGGCATACACAAACTGTATCTTACACAGCTGGAACGTTCAGTTTTTCATACATATGCTGTCTATGGTGTGGTTTTCTCCAAGCAAAGTTTCAATGTGTGCTAAAACACACTGTGAGAAATTTCAGGGTTTTTCTGAGAGGAAATGAAAAATCAATGCTCAAACAAACACAGACTAAAATACGGATTTTCAACAGAAAAGGGAGTTGCCAGCATGTAGATGGCAAATAAAAGAAGAAGCAATAGGAACAAGAGCTCAGGCCACCCAACAATTCCCCAAATTTCAAGCCTGCCCTAACCCATCAGTTTAATGTTCCTTCTGGTGAGTTCCTAGAACCATTTACTGGAGCAGAAGGATTTCAGAGTAAACCATACCTGCCCTTGGCAGGCGAGACCACCTCTGGCCTCCTGCCATCTCTGCTTTGTCCAGGCTACAGCCATTTGGTGGGATTTTTAACTTACAGTGAAGTGACATTTAGATAGCACCAGATCCCAGCCTGGTGCACTCCCTGTCCTGCAGGAGCACCACTGTCCCAAGGCCTTATCACCCCATTACTGTAACAGAGAAGAGTAAAAAGACCAAAGTTTGGGACAGACTTTGAGCTTTGTTTTTCCAGTTTCACCAGTACCCGTAAGGCAAGGAGGGATGGTGCTGCTTAGTGTCTGAAATGTAAACACACATAGCAATGCAGGAATCTGCTCCATTAACAGCTCTAAACAATCATCACTTTTGTGGTGCCCAGCACCACAAGGAGCAGTGGCCATAAACTAAATCGCAAGAAGCTCCATCTCAACATGAGGAAGGACTTCTTTCCACTGTGGGTGGCAGAACGGGCTGCCCAGGGAGGGTGTGGAGTCTCCCTTTCTGGAGACTTTCCAAACCCACCTGGACACGTTCCTGTGTCACCCGCTCTAGGTGACCCTGCCTTGGCCGAGGGGTTGGACTGCACGACCTACAGAGGTCCCTTGCAAGATTCTTGAGATTCTGTGAAACCATTTCAGCTTCCCGTGAAGCTCACGGGCACTCATCCATCCGCAAACGGAGCAGCCTTTTTGAAAATGCGAATGGAACACAGCTTTGCTCAGAGCCGCTAAGAGAACATTTTAGATTTTTTTTAACTTTAGAGACACCCACCGCGCGCACGGCGCGGGATGCGCGTCCGCGCCGAGTTACCTTGTGCTTTCTCATCGTCTCCAGGTCGTGAGCAGCATCCTGCGACCCTGCGGAGAGAGGAAGGACATCCCGCCGGTTGCTTGCGCTGAGTCCCCCCCCACACTCCTCCCTGAGGCCCCGGGCCCGCCGCCCGCAGCCCCACTCACCCAGCAGCAGCCAGGGCTTCACCACTCCGACCTGCAGGTCGGCGCTCAGGTCCCGCACGAACCCGCCGCCCGCCTCCCCCTCCTCCTCCTCCACCTGCAGGCAGGCGCCTCGCCACGTCTCGATGATCCTGCGGCCGGTCAGCGTCGTGACGCGGGTGCGCTGCTTCCGCAGGTTGGCCCTGGAGAAGCTGCGGATCTCCTGGGCGAGGGAGTGCATAGCGTGACCACCGGCTCCTCCGCTCCGCGCCGCCCGCCCCGCACCGCCCGCCCCGCGCTGCAGACGCGCCCTCCGGGGCGGGACCTGGGCGTGAAGGGACATCCCCCTCCCCCGGACCGCCCCGGACCGTCCCGGAGGAATTAAAGCAGCCTGCAAGCTCGGAATGCCTGTGCTCGGTGTCAGCGAGCCGTGCGGCAGCGCCTGTCGGTCTCTAACTGGGACCTGCTTCTTGGGAAAACACTGTAAGGAGCTAAACGGAAAATATTAGAATGAAATAGAATCATAGAATCATAGAATCATAGAATCATAGAATAGATTGGGTTGGAAAAGACCTCCAAGATCATCAAGTCCAACCCCTGATCCAACTCCAATTACTATATCATGGCACTAAGGGCCACGTCCAATCTCTTTTTAAAAACCTCCAGGGATGGTGAATCCACCACCTCTCTGGGTAGGCCGTTCCAATGCCTGATAACCCTCTCTGTAAAGAATTTCTTCCTAACATCTAACCTAAACCTCCCCTGGCAGAGCTTGAGCCCATGTCCCCTTGTCCTATTGTTGGTTGCCTGGGAGAAGAGACCAACCCCCACCTGGCTATAACCTCCCTTCAGGTAGCTGAAGAGAGTGATGAGGTCACCTCTAAGCCTTCTCTTCTCCAGACTGAACAACCCCAGCTCCCTCAGCCTCTCCTCATAGGACTTGTGCTCCAGTCCCTTCACCAGCCTCGTTGCTCTTCTCTGGACCTGCTCCAGCACCTCAATAGTTTGGGTATTTTTTCCTCTGGAGTATTGGACTAGAGTATTCTCTATAGCATACTATTTGTAGTGTTACACAGCTGGTACACAGAATCATAGAATGGCCTGGGTTGGAAGTGACCTCTCAGATCACCTAATTCCAACCCCCTGCCGTGGGCAGGGACACCTTCCACTAGACCAGATTGCTCAAAGCCCCATCCAACCTGGCCTTGAGCATTGCCAGGGATGGGGCATCCCCAGCTTCTCTGGACAGCCTGTGACAGTGCCTCACCACCCCCACTGTAAAGAATTTCTTCCGTATATCTAATCTAAATTTCCCCTCCTTCAGTTTGAACCTGCAACCTCTTGACCTGTCACTACAGTTCCTGAGGAAGAATCCCTCTCTGGCTTCCTTTTAGGTCCCTTTAGATACTGGAAGGCTACATTAAGTGTGTAAAATCTGTATGTGTGTTTAAATCTGTATGTGAGTCTACAGAGATCACCATGCAGATGGAGCTGTGGAAAGCCAAAGGAAAGATTTTTCACAAGCGCACTGGGTTTAAAGAAATTTGTTTAATTTGTTTTCCTCCTGGCTCCAGTGTTCAACAACTTTAACTCCTCAGATATTCAAAGTTATTTTGGAAGTGTTTATCATACAGAAAGTGGAAATGCTGCCTGAACAAAAGGATTGATATTTCAAGGGAGGAAGAAGGTGATGGAAGGGACAAATTGTGGGAACAAAGGAAAGTACAAGTTCGTTATCACATGAATTCAGTCTCACCCTGAATGGTTTTCCTCTGAGCATGAATCCACACTATGACAAAGAGTTTGCTTTTCCCAATTTGTCCTCCCCTTGCTGCATGAGGAAATTACAGCAACACAATACAGGGTCTTGTGCGTCTTCATTGGGTTTGGTAATAACAGCAATTTAAAGGCTTTGCTTTTCATAATTTTGCCAGCAGATGAGATGGAGAGTGTAAAAAAATCTTGATTTCAGTGATCCCTTGATTATTTTTTTAAGTGGTCATAGCTGTCATAACACTCACTCTGGTGAGTGTTAACTGGTGTTAGAGGAAATTTCCTGTGTTTTGGGAATTCTCTCTAGATCAGTGTACTGAGGGTATTTAGGAAATGCTGGAGCTGAGATTTGCCAGGGTCCCGTGGTTAGCCAGTAGCCAAGGGCTGAGGGCTGCTCCTGAGGTATCCTGTGGGTTCCTGTGCCATTGTCCTGTTGCCACAATGCAAGGAATGAGAATAACCATTTCAGGAGAAATAAACTTTGCAGAGACTTGCAATGCTTTGCTTGATGTGTAAGGACAGAGGGTGCATTTGAGTCTGTCCAAGCACCAATGAAATGCAGAACCTGAGTTCATATCTTGAAAGGGTAAAGTAATTCCTGTGTTTGGAAAAGGTATTTTGTTAAGGTGTTAAAAAAAGTTCAAACTGGTCTTTTCAAAGCATCAAGATGGTACTAAGTGCATCAACAAATATTTGCATTGATTATTTCAGTTGTTTGTTATATATTTTTGAAATAGTATTTACAAATAATTCTGAATGTTTTTAATTCTTTGGAGCCTTCCTTAATTATTTAGCATTTTGGTGTTCAGGCTGTAAAGTATGTGAACAGTCACAACATTACTGCAGTCAGTTTGGCAAATGTATGAATAAACTGGCTTATGGAAGAGTCACACCCCACTTGCATTTCAACCTGAGGGTGTTACAGTGAATGAGAACAAGCTGGAACACTTGTAGAAACAGCAAATTTCAAGCAAACCATGAGAGAGAAGAATTTTCATGCTAAATATGGTTTTTATGGTCAATGCAGTGCTTAAGAGCCAGGACGTGTAGCATGTTGCTCTCTACTTTTTTTTTTACTATTAACTTAAAATGGCTCAGATTTTGAACAGCCCATCTCTTAGTTACTGGAGATGCTTCACTGTCTCCTAGTGAACACACTCCTGGAGCTGAAAACGTTGCTTTACATAAGTATTTATATATTCTGAAACTCAGCCACAAATGCTTTTTTTTCCCAGCACTGAAAGGCAGCAACCACAACTGACTTGAAATGGGTTGGTTAAAGTGACCTGATACAATTTTGGCTCTTTACTCAGCTGTAACTCCCAGCAAGAAGTAAGCATGGACTCTGGACTGAGGGATGTTCCACTAATACATTTGAAAATGTGTATTTGACAGTTGAAGTTATGTATCAGGAGAGGACAACACAAACAGAGATAAAAATCAACACGTAAATTACCAGCTGTGTTTTATATTGTGGGCTTTTGTTTAACTGTTTTGCAGATATAACTAGTAAATCCTTGTATGTGCATAGATTAGCATTAGGAATAAGTGGCAAAGTCCATGCTGTCACTATGAATTTGGATACTGAGCAGGATAAATGCACATCTTCCTCCTACTACTGTGTTTTCCTCCTACTACTGTGTTTTCCTATTTTTTTTTTAATTATCAAAGATTGAGGAAATTGCAGTAAACTCCAAACAGTGAGTTTTGTGGTTGTAGTGCAGCCACACTTATTTTCTCTGCGTGTGTGTACATAAATATGCATTAAAATGGTACTAAAAGAGCTTAAGAATGATCTTGGCTTGTGTGGTTTCCCCTGGGTGGGTAGGAACATCAGGTGCAGCCTGATGTTGGGATCCTGGATCATGGCAATCAGTGAATGACCTCAGTTACAAAACACCATTCTGGGTGCCTTTAGTCTGCTGTGGTCTCCTCTGAAATCCCTGCTGTAAAAGCAGCTACTGAAACATGGTTTATAAATTCACTTAAAGTATTCTAAATCCAGTGCTGATGTGAGACTGCTCCTCCAAGGAAAGATTTATTAAACAAACAAAATCTTAAATGAGAAAACTGCAGACGAGAGATATATTTTTTCACACTTGCATGACGGAACATGTGGGAATGATGGAAACACTGAATCTTGTGTTCTTCCAGCCTCTGTGTTGAAGGGGTGGCAAGGCTTTAATCCTGCAGTTTTCTGAAGGAATGTGTCTTGGAAGAGAGAGCACTGAGTTGCCAGACTTGATTCTTCCTTTGGAAGAGGAACCCCAGGTCTTGCAGTGGGTGGCTAGAATGGGTTTTAGCAATGTTGTTAAGTGGAATATAGATATAAAAGGGGTGCTGTTACCTTCGATCAGCCCTGCGCTGCAATTGCCCATCCCACCTCCCCAAAACTGATACAAATGAAGATTCCTTTCAGGGAAAGCACAGAAAACCCTGGTTGCCCACAGAGTGCCCAGGCTGCCCTACCAACTGCACCTGAAAGCCAAAGCTCACAAGCTTTCTGTCCTGGGGCACAGGGCTGCTGTCCCCTTTGGTCAGCCCCGCCCCACCAGGGTTTCCTGAGTGGATTTGCTTTCCCCATTTGAACTGGCTTTTTAACATTGCTTCTTTAATCCATGTCAATATATATTTGCCTGGCTTTTGCTGTTGTGCCCCGGGAGGTGATGGATTTATCCTTCTTCTTCCCTCCCTTACACACTAATCTAAACTGGGGACGCATAAATTTAGTGTCCTCACTTTCTAGCATCTGATCCCTCTGGGGCTGTGCTGCCTCTCCTGTGCAGATGGAGATAGTTGCAGATGGAGATAGTTGCAGATGGATGGGGAGTTAGTCATGGTCTCCTCCTTGGTGGAAGCTGGCCAAAACTGGGCTGCCTTGGAAACTGAGGCAGCCAATTCTAAACTTGGATCTGCCTTCAGACATACTTTAAGATATACCTGTCCTGACAGGTCTTCCATAACCCGACAGATACTTTTCTCATCTTATAGCACAAGATGCTTTCCTGTGGAATGTCCTACATCTATCCCTGGAGGAGTGCTCCTTGGCATGGGATGGAGAACCTCAGGGAAGGGAGGATTCATTGTGCCCCATTGCTGATGGCTGAGGCTCCTGGAGGAGTGGGCAATACCCTTGATCCGGAGGGATGCCTGTGTTGTGGAGCCTGCAGAAGGAATCTCAGCAGGAAAGCAGAGCCTGGGCCTTGTCAACAAGCCAGTCTGTATTTCCTCACAGAGGAGGTAGCTTGCATGTTTTTGCCACCGGCTGTCTCTTGCTTTTCCATTATTAATTTGATTTAAGACACTGATATGATACTGTCTCAAGGCAACTTGGTGTCGTTATTTTCCGGCTTCCCTGGTGTAAGTGGGTAGTAGCTCTTGCTTTATGCCATTCCTATTATTGTTTCTGGGTGTAGGATGCTAATGTAATTCCAATAACAACATTGTAAAGCTGTCATCTAAGAAACACGTAAATCTAATAATCTCCCTGTTAATTTATGTTGAGTTTTCTCCCATCGGGAAATCT